ATAGAGCAATGTTCTCGCAAACAGATCACTAGCGAAAGTTGAGAAAAAACTCGTAAATGTTAATTTTGTTGCTGGCGGTGTTTTCATTAGCTGTACTGTATTCTTTGAGTTGAAATATACTCTTTGGCCATTCTTAAAATTAACTGCGAGCCGCACAACGGTCGGAAAGCGTTCATGAAATGCAAAAATAAATATCCTACAAAGCGCTTTATTGCAGTTAAGTTATCGACCCATTTGATACTTGCTGATCTCATCTCGTTCAAAACCAATTACCGCCATGTTGCTTCCTTTAGTGACGTACTTACAAACGTATTTTACCGACTACACCAAACTGCAATACTCAACATTAATATGAGTTTTGAATATGAATTAGTGGCGAATATAGTACGATCCATGAGTTGTCAACTTCGATATTCATTCTTCAAATTGAAATGCTGTGTGTTCTGCCATTGTCGTGTGGTGAGCTACGCCGATAGAGTGGATATCCATCATTTCTAGTTTGTGTATCCGAAAGAAAAGCACGTGGATAGTGTTTCGTGCATTTATTGTCAGCCATACAAACCGAAAAGGGATTGTAATGTTCGAAAGGTTCATGAATCATATTGGTTTTCACCACTTCGAATATTATTGGATCTTTCTCTGCATCAGGAATTTCCGCAGAAATAATTTCATCAATTTGTTCTGGTGTAATCAACAGAGTACATCTAGCATCCAACAGCACCATCCAACATCGTAACTTTTGTTTTTTGAAAAGTTGTGCTATGACATCCTGACGATTGATTGTTGATTGACCGCGATCCATAATCCCGCACGTATGTCATTGCATCCTGGGAGTGCTTCTTGCCTTACCTTGCCTTTGGACTGCAATACGTTGCTCGCACAAAAAAAAAAAAAAACGCTGACCGATATTAGGAAATTAAAAATATATATATGGAAAAATTACTTTTTGGCATTATCCAAGTTTCCGACTTTCCGTCATGAAAACAATAAGGTATTTTTATTTTTAAACCTCCTCCGATCCACAACGAATAACCTCTGAAAATTTCATCTAGATTGTCGCAACCGTTCTCTTAGCGTTACTAACAAACAAACATTCGTTCGTTTGTAAGGGGAAAAGAAATGGGCTGTTTTTAGGGTTTTTAGGCTGTTTTTTTTCCAAAATTTCTTGCAGTAAAAACCACCCTTGAACCTCAACGGCCACAAAGAATTATCAAATTTGGTTCAGTCGTATGAAAGTTATGACCGTACATACATTTTGGCGATTCTTTTTTATTTATATAGATGGCAAACCAGAGTTCTTTTTAGTCAACTATCAGAGTCAATACTTTGAGACTAACGCTAGAGACAGTTAAGGGAATAGTAACTAGTCACAAATTGAGACTTTACCTCAAAATGTCTCAAATATTGACAGAATTCCACTATTAAATGAAAAATACTATTTTATGTTTCAAACGAAATTGAATACCACTACTGTATATATAATACAAGTACTTGTATTTAAATGCCTGAGGATTGTATTTTGTTTTTTTTTTTTCACTTTGTATACTCTTGCAAACATATTGCTTCACTGAAGTTTCAAGTTTTGTAAAAAGGTCTGCCAAAAATCAAATTTTTAGTTTTGTTTTTCCTTCGTCCAAGTTCTAAATTAAGGTTTTAACTAAAACACGTATTTTTTCACATTAGACGATCGTGGAAGGAGTTATCCTGCCAACGCGGGCGCATCTTTTTTTCGAGGGTCACCGGAAATGGCGTCGCAATGAGCGAGTTTAATATTTCTTTGTTAGCAGTATGTTTGTAACAATAAAAAATTACAATTAAATATTTGATTTTTTATATGAGATATTTTTACGCGAGAAAGCCCGGGGTTACATGGTTAACGTGTAAAATTGGGCGAAAACTTGACTCTATGTAATTAACATATAATATCTGGGTGACTTTACTTCATGAAAGCCATGAATGTACTATAGGCTAAAGTAGATAAAATCCATATAAGTACTACATATCGTCACTAAAAATGCAAAGCAACGATTCTTTAGAAAAATCGAAATTCAGTTTTTTATTGTTTATGATTCACTACATCATATTGCGTATATGTAACACAAAATTTACAGCTTTCGTCGTCAGATATAAACAATATATAATCGTTTTATGACCAAAACTAAAATTTTGTTGCAATATCAGTGGTTTCTATTATATCGTTGTGACTAAACAAGTTACTTACTGACCTAATCTAACGTTTATACTTCATTGAGTACAAATTGGGTACATCTCTAATGAAAAATGTTTTGAAATTGATTTGGTGTTGATTTTTCGGTAGCGCAGTACTCAACTTGTACGCAAGAACAGACAAGCGTTAGATTAGATCAGAGTCTTATATTTCCTAGTAATCACTTGATAGTGGTTCCGGACTATATGGTGAGTGCGTAAGAATCCCCAACCAATCGGACGAAACTTCCGGCAAGTGGCCATCGATATGTGCGGCCTGAAATTGTACGGATGAACCACAATTCCTCTCAGGCTGGAAGAAAAACTGTAAAATATGATACATATTTATTATCCCAAACACTACTAAGTCTAGCGATCACAAAACTGTCTGAGAAGTTTTCTAAGCATGAAATCTTATCTTTATAGATACAGATAACAAAAGTCAACTATGGTATTAAAAACATAATGGATTTCTTTTACTAATCTTTGTACTTCCAAGTGTCAATGAAAAATAATGAAATATCTGCCTTAAATAATTTTATCTTTCTTCTATATCGCCATATATGTATAAGTTTTTTTTTTTTATTTATTGCGGCAATTATATTATTATATAATATTAGGTGAATATTTCCAATTGAACACCGTGACGTATGAGTAATGCATTGTAAACAGCTGCTATGTGTTAACATTTACTGTTAACCAAAATAACAGCTAATTTCCAATTTGCTAATATGAAAAAGCATTTGTTGAATATTTAAGTAATTAAGTAATTTAATTATAAAATATACTTAAAGTTCTATTATGTGTGTATGACAATAACATCTGTTTGTAAATTCAGAATTAGTGCTCTCCACGATAATGTGTGTGATATGCATAAGTCTGTATTTCTCTAAAGTTTACAAAGTAGAGTACTTACTTACATATATATAAGTTACATAAGTATGGCATTTCCGTTATTGTGCTTAGGTAATGATAAATGTTTCACAACCTGATAACAAAATCAAAATAAAAAAAATTAATTGGTCTAATGCTTCAAAGCATTTAGGGATTACACAAATTTGTTAATTTTTTAAGATATCTGCATGGAATTTAATATATATACTGGTCATATTGATAACTCAAAAACTAAGGGATTAGTTCGCGTATATAAACAATAATCAACTTGTCAAATAACGGGCGCTTTATTGTACATCTCATCCATTTAAGTCACACCACTGGAACAGACTTAAAGAGATACTAATGTATTATGAGAGCGTACAAAACAGTTTAGACATTTATATTTTAGATAATTAACATTCTACTTGTAATAATTCGAGTTCCAGAACTTAGAAGGCACACTCTTTTATGAGAGTGTACAACTGCTGCATCGTACGCCGATGACTTTGATATCATTGGGCTCAACACCCGCGCCGTTAGTTCTGCATTTTTCAGACTGGATAAGCAATCATTTGATTTGATCAGTTTAATTAGTAAGTACTACTAACTAGACTGAAAAGGTGTCCTTTTTTGAATAATTTCACACTATCGAACCGGTTAGTTCGTTGGATGGCCGTTAAACAAATAGGCCAAATTAAATGGAGGTTATATGGAAGAAAAAAAAAAACATACTTTCCATCAAAGCAAGAGGCTTTTCAGTCCATATAGTAAAAAAAAAAAAAAAAAAAAAAAAAAAAAAAAAAAAAAAAAAAAAAAAAAAAAAAAAAAAAAAAAAAAAAAAAAAAAAATAATTCTGTATCTCGCCTTGTATTAATGCAATCGGTTTACGTTAGACGCCATTAGAAATATAAAATTAAATATTTTCAGAAAGTTTTGTGATTGATAGTCTCGGTATAGTTTGAACACCCATCAAAGATCATAATCCGCAAAACGGAAACACGCTATATTTTACTGTTTTTCTTCGATAAATAGTGAAGTGTTCGTGAATAGTGATTATGGTACCAATAATGTGACAGTTAATTTGGATTCCGTTCCGGTCATTTGAGCTCTGAGAAAGCAATAGTCGAAAATATCGATAAAATAATAGAAATCATCGGGCACGATCATTGTGTAAGCTGCGACTGCCTATGAGATAAACACTGCACAAAATCGTTTGTAATCATTTAAATAGGCTGGATACAAAAAGAAGTTCGAAAGTATGAGTGGCACAAGTCATATTTGCTATTTTCTTAGAATTTTGAATTCTAAATCCAAATTGACAAATCGGTATAAGGCCCGTTTCTTTAATTATGTTCCGAATCCTCTTATATGTAGCTTCAAGTAGCTTGGGCGAAATAACCAACAGTGAGATTGTACGACATGACGAGGCCGCATGTGTGCTTTGCCAGGTTTTTGTACCATAATGATTTCAGATACCTTTCATAACTTAACTATGTGCTAAATGAAAATTTTGATCGAAAGCAAAACAAAAAAAAATATTTCTTATATATTTCGATAGCCGTGCGGATTTTTCCTTTATTGATATATTACTTGAGTTTTTATTCATTAAACATTCTACACATTATATTATCTAACCGCGATTATACCTCGACTGGTCAAAAATTGGTTTGTATTATATTTCTAACGCAAGAAGGGTTATTCAATATTCCTTTTTGATTTTGTTATGGGAACTCACAGTTTTGGACTCTCCACCATTAAAGTTACAGAGCACGGGCTATGCAAGCCTTTCAAATTTTATACTTAATTTATTCAGTTATAAAAAAGTGCTTAATATGTACTGTATACTTAGAATTAAAATTTTTACATTAATTAACACTAAGTAAACTTTGTCAACCAAAATTTTTTCTAAAAATAAATTATGCAATTTTACTATACATGTATTTGTAACTTTTTCGCTTTAACAATACTCAAACATAAAACACAGGTGCTCTCATTATTAAGCCATATATGAATTAACGTTGATATATTTCTTGGTTTTCGAATTTCGAAAAAGTATTTAGGTACATATACATCTGGCCTGCCAGTCATTAAGCTGCCTCATTGGCCGTGGTTGCTCTGTTACTACTCTTACGCTGCATAATGTATGAAATCCTAAAATTGACGAAAAAAATTACAGAATTAATAAATGTGTCAAGCGTGTTAGTGAAGCGAACTTACGTTATAAGCAAAAAGCTTGCGACATAGATACCAGCGCTGAGAAAGTAGAAGGCGCCAGGAGATGATACCAATGTCGCGTTGTAAATACCGGTGTAGACTGGCGCCGACGCCAAAGGTGATAGTGTTTGCAGTGACGTAATTACCGCATATACTTTGCCTAAAATTCCAAATTTTTTTTTTCTTAATTATAATTTCTATGAAAAAGTAATAAATAGCAGTTTTACCGATTTCTGTGCGATCCACCAAACCCGCAAGTACCGCTTGCAACATGGGGCTGTTAATGCCTCCCATGAAGCCCGCAAAAGCGGCCACATACATCTGCCAAAATTTTTCAGCCAAAGCGCGTATTAGACTGTCGGCGAAGCTACCCAAGAAGCCAAGTATAGCCACCACAGTTAAAGGCACGCTGAATACCTGTAAAGCGATTTTTGTTGTTGTGGTTTAGGTTTTATAAGCATTCTGTGCTAACTGTAATAGAAACTCACCACAAATAATAGTAACAAAATGATGGCACAACCAATCATTTTGATACCAATGCCGATCGCGGTGAAAGTGGTGAATTCTTGCAGCGTGAGATTGAATTTGTTGCGCAGAAACAGATAAAGTACATTCGCTTCACCCTCTGTAAGGAAAAAATAATATTTGTGTGTAACTTATATTAAAATTTAGTACTGAATTTAGTACTTACGCTGCACAAAGGTTGTCGAAATTAAGGCGAACATAATACACCAAATGATACAGCGATCATAGTGCGGTCTGCGTTTCAGGCAAGTTTTAACCAGATCCTTAATCAAATCGAATTTGAAGAACTCACGTACATGCGACTAAAATAACAAAAAAAAAAATTAATTATAATAGTAATGAAATACAAAAAAGCAACCCTACATTCAAAATTTGCAACGCACCTTAGTTCTTTCAAGTTTTATGTTCAAACTTTCCGTTATAAAGATGGCGATATAAAGGAAGGCTACCAAATCCATACTCGCAGCAATTACGAATACCCCGATAGTACCAGTTGCGGCCAGTATGGAACTGGCTATCAAATTACCAACCAGCATACCAATAGCCATAGTACCCTCGACCAAGAACAGGCTACAAAGTATGAAAAATATTTTAAAAATTGTCGGCTGCTAGCGCAAAATAGCTTCGAAAACACCTACCGTCTAGCTCTGCTACCCTCATCACTCACATCGGAAACGAGACAAAATGCCATCGCTATCAAGGCACAGGTGCCACCAGTTAGTGCAAGTGGTATGTGTGATATAATGTAGACCCAAGGATTTATCGGTGTCGCCATAGATATACCCGCTAATATTGACGTTATAAGATGTCCGAGAAATGCCGCTGTTTCAGTAATTAATTTAATTAATTTCTTTGTATTTCATTATTATGGCGAAATTGTTTATTTACCTGCATAGGTTACTACAAATATAGGTCTACGTCCAAATTTATCAGACCAAGCTCCAATAAATAAACTGAGGAATGCGGGCAAAACGCTGTTAATCAGAGAACTCGCCATAATAATCCTGGCCACATAGGGTTGCACTTGGGTTTCGATGGCCTGAAAACAATTTGGAAAGTAAAATATTAGAATATTACGAAATTTTGTTTATTTATTTCATTTAAAATTTATTTTTATTTTTTTTATTTAAATATGTTTTATTATTTTTTTTAAG